CATTTTCATTGCCACCAAGAGATCTCTTGTTTCCCAGATTTTCTGTAATTGTAAGACACTAAAAAACAACACAACTTCCCCACTTTCAGAAAAACTGCTGAAAGAAATACACAGCCCTTCTACTTGGTAGGTCTGACATAATGACAAAAGTCAAAACTTCTCTTATCTGTATTTCTAAGACATTGAAAAAAGACAGAACTTCTACTATATAACTGGAATTCTGAGACACTTAGAAAATGAATATATTTATCAATTTGTAATTCTAAACCAGATTACACAATAAATATCAAAATGTTCACTGTGACCCGTTGCTCCTCCTGCTAGCAACTTAAAAAGTTTAGACACACTCATATCTTTATAATAATACATTCATTTCCACACTGACCTCTTTTTATGTTTCCATAAATCTTAGTACATTTTTCTCAGGTTTGATTTTATTGAAATATTTTGGCTCATCTGGAGCAATGCCGCTTTAAGTCACACCATCATTTCTAAACAACTGTATACCAATGTGATAATGTACAGCATTGCCAAAGTAATGGGATGTATGGATAATATTACAGTTAAAATACAAGGCCGTATATACAATAAAATGCTAGTCATTGTAAGTGTAATTTGAACCCTTTTTTTCGATATTGCTCCCATGAAATTGTTTATTATTTCATTAATTGAAATAGATCACAGTTTATGCTTCCAGAAGACCTCATGTCAACATGGCCTACTAAAATTCACTAAAGTCAAATTAAGACAAGACCAAGATATTGTTATACTAACACTTTCGTATGTTTAGAATTGAAGTTCCCACCCCACCATGATTGGGGCAATGATTGTTTGTGTCTTAAGGATTCTGACTTGCATCTTAGATTTTTATTAAAACATCCATGAACAAACACAAACACTCACCTTACTCTTGGAATATTTTGATTAAAGGCAAATATCCAGTATATCCCTGGCACTGATAAAAACAAGAGACAATTTAGTTTACAGCATATACATCCTCAAATGATAATCATAACACTTGAAACCTTTGTAATTTACCAAAGAATTAACCATTAGCAATATGAAAGCAAAATTGCTGACACATCATTTCTTATTATTTTACAATGTGAATTAATCAGTATTTGATACGGCTTACATTTTTATCTACCATCTTAACTTTTCTTATGTAGATGACCATACAAATGTGTGACAAGGTTATCTGATTTGTTTTAAAAGTCACCACTTTATCAGTGAAGATCAAAGTTAAAATAACGCATACCCCGAGGGTGAGGTTTGTAGGTCGGGATATCTATAATAGATACGACAGTCCAGGTTAACAATCCAACAGCTCTCAATCACTTCCCTTCAATTACTTCACTTGACCCTTTTTCTTTACAACAAATTCACCCCAGGCTCTGAAAATGCACTTAATTTTGTAATAAAATTTGCAATGAAATAACAATTCTTTCAAAGATCAAGTTTTTAAATTACTTTCTACACTTTGGTAGTGATTTTCTACAGGTAAATTTAGTTTGTGACATTTTATGGGATTCTGAATATCTGACAGTGTAATTATCTCTCGATCATTATGAACGTCTCTATAAATACTAGCTATTGTTTGTGAAAACTAAAACAAATGAAAATCTGCTCTACAGAATTTGCTGCACATTTTTGTAAATTTGTTTTCCAACTAGATTGATTTTGAGTTTTCTAACATACCTTATAAATAATGATAGCTATTCAATAAAACAAATTTGCATGTGCAACTTGTAGGCCTACATCCATCATGACACGGTGGTATGGCTCATCGACTTTTAAAGTTTATAAATATTAATTAGCTGATTAGTAATGGGGAATGACTTAATAATAATCAGTTAATTTCTACCATCGGATTTATACCTGTAGGATACCTGTAGGATGATTCTGGGCTCTGATGGAAGGGCCAAGCCCCTTCTTAAGCCCCTTTTCTTTTGACAATCTTTCAGTACTTCTTCTTATTGCTCTCACCACTTCTATGTTTAATTATATATACTTTTATCTACTTCTGTTCACTCTGCTATACAATTATAACAGCATAATTTTTCAATAAACATTTTAAACTTTATATGGATTGTCTCCGGTCCAGTGTTGGTCTAGTTTTATTTTAAATTCATGAACACTTTTTGAGTCTACTACATTTTTTGGCAAATTATTCCATGTTTTAATTACACGTCTTGAAAACTGATGTAGGCAATGAGTTGTTCTACTACGAGGCATTTCTAGTTTTAAATTATGTCCCCTTGTTGATGCCGAATAACTAAAAAAATTTTCAAAAACACAGTCATCTAAGCCTTTTACTATTTTGAAAGTCTGAATCATGTCCCCTCATATTAAATCTGCGATGTATTAGACTTGGCAGTTTAAGCTTTTTAAGACGGTCAATATATGTCAGATCTTTTAATGATGAAACTAGTTTTGTTGCTCTTTGTTGAAGTTTTTCTAGACTTGATATATCTTTTATTAAATATGGATTCCACACAACATTTATGTTTTAGGTTATCAAACATATATTGTCTTCTGGATTAGAACCCTATGAATTGTCCAGGAATACACTTTAATAAAATAAACTAAAGAAAACGGAATTAACCTTACTGTATAGTCCTGCCCTGGTACGTCTATTCCAGGATTTGGCAAATTATCTAATCATGGATTAGAACCCTATGTATTTTATAGGAGAAAAACTTGTATATTATAAACTAAAGATTAATTACCATGCAGTTCGTAATATTTACCTTACGTTTGTTATTTTTTAAAAAGTTAAAATACGCCAGCTAGCTAGACATTTCTCTCCTCTTTGCGTGTCTTGTGTGCATCAGCAAATGACGTTTTTTAAACTAAGGGACGTAATTCCCGTAATTATAGTTCCATTCTGGGGAGGGGATATTATTGACTCTTTGAGGTCTAATAATGCATATGATTGCGTATTGTTTGTCCCAGATATTTAATGAAAATTTCTATGAACACAAATTGAAATTCAGCAATATATTACAGAACAGAAGACCCCCATCTTGTTGTGCAACTTATAGCCAAGTCAAAGAAATTCACTACTTTTTGCGCAGATGTCTTGACTACTGTGATCGGCTGACTATCATTCATTTTTATTTTTTCATTTCATTGTTTTTATTTTTCAGTAAAAAAATACAAAAAGTAAATGTTTATATTATATTCTGATTATGTATTCTTATCAATGAAATATTGAGGAATATTGATGAAATAAAACGCTAATTTTTATTTTCCGTTCTTCCGTTATTCTTTTCTTTTTTCACTGTAAAAATATTTGTCACTGCAGTGAAACATATTTCTGCATTTTCACAGGTGTCTTGCCGGACTACTTTCTCCTAAATTCAGCCAATACACAAAAATTAAGGGAAAGTCTTTCAAATTAAAATGTCAAAAGAGAAAATATGTATAAAATTAACAGAAAATTCAAGTTTTTCTATAAATACAGGATTTATTTTCATCTTGAACACAAGTGTCACAGTAAAAAAATACATTGAACTGGGCACTATATTTCACAGTGAATATAACTCACTGATCACTAAGCACACAATTAACGTACCGAAAATAATTGGTATTTTCACCTATAAACGTTCTATAACCGGTATTTTATTCGTTACGCTTGTCTTAGTATAGTTGTCTCCCTTTGTTTCGTAAAATCCTGTGAGGTCTCTCAAATCAAGTGCCAGGGGTGGAGATCGACGGTGTTAAAAATTAATAAACCAAAAAAATAATACTTCTTTGTTGAAGTTAAAATAATTGTTATACTAACACATAAAAAGATGCTTGTCACATTGAACAAAAATTCAGATAATTTGTGTCTAGTGAAAATATATAGAGGATATTTGTTTAGTTCAGTGTAAGATCGGAATATATTTCACCGAGTGAGCACCAAAAGGTATATTTCACGAGTGGCGCAGCCACGAGCGAAATATGAACTTTTGGTGTTCACAAGGTGAAATATATTTCGATCTTACACTATACTAAACAAATTTTCTTTTTATTATATGCAAAGAGACGTTTTAAAAAGACATAAAACCTAAAACTCAATGAAAAGCGCGCCAAATAATAATACAACGTGACGTCATTTACGACGTCACGTCATTAAGTTGGTACCCAGTACTGTGCACGCTGGTATTTCACTGAAACAACGTAAGGGGCTTAAATTCAAAACAGTGAAATTATCAAAGTGGTAATTTCACTGTTTCAAACAGTGAAATTACCAGTTTTATATCACTGATATATTTCTATAAACCACCGAAAAGCATGTAATAAATATATATGAATAACATATTGCATGAATGAAAAGATGAAACATATTATCTTAGGTGCAATCAATGCGACCAGCACTTTTGCACGAGAAAAGTTCCTTTTATTTTCTATACCATTATGCTTTATTGTATTTCCAACACTAAGTTTAATCTTTCAATGGAAAGATACAATTTCTAAACATATCGTATACATTTGCAATTGAAAAAGTTTTCCGTATTAAAAACTGCTGCAACCGGAAGTGGTTGCCTTTATAGCGCAAGGTCCTCCTGAACACCTGTGCAGTCTGACCATGCAGGCTGTATACATGTACTGTTGGTCAGTGTACATACTGCTGCAGTTTCTGACCAATCAAATACCTGAGATGAGTTTGAGCTTACAACCTTGGACCCAGGCTGTATACATGTGCTGTTGGCAGTACAAATTTTGTATTTTGATATTTAAACCCGACCTGCTACACATTAAAACAGGGAAAATTCATTGTACAAATTCAGCAGGTAAAGGGTTAACTAATTTTTTACGTATCAATATTTCTTTATGACATGCATGCATAACAGTAACACAGTTTCACTACATGATTTGTTTTCTTGTTTCGATCTTTTTCATATAACATATCGATATACAAATTGGATGGTATTGTAAATGCAAAGTAAAAAGACATAACCAACAACACATAACATGTTCTATATTTAATTTAGATATAATTTATTCCGTATAAAATGTGTTCCTTTAAATAAAAACAAACAAACATAATATATTCAATATAACACATTTCATGTAAAATATAGAAAATATATTATAGTCAATGCGAGATTCCATGTTAGCCAATGCAAATATATATCGTATTCAATACGAAACATCCGATATTCGATATAACCAATATAAATGTAAAATATTTAAAACATCCGATATTCGACATAACCAATATAAAATGTAAAATATATAAAACCAATATGTCAAAACATTATATAGTTATAAAAATATAATTGTATTCAATATAAAATATTGAGGATATGATATAAATTGTAGAGGTATTTGTTTGTTCAATCATACAGTCTATGTAAAAAACAGTAATACTAGAACGTATTATTGACATTAAAAAGCGTTTGTATTGCAATGTTTGCTTAAGCTTAATTTGCCCTTTTGTAAAATTTTCACCTAAGAGGATGTAAATTAATTTTAAAAAACTTAACAAATATCATTGTTTTATATCCAACTGTCATATCTGGAGGTAGAATTAACAACAACAAAAAATAAATATAAACAAATCATACATGAACACAGAATAAAACGTTGCGTAACAAAACACCCAAATTCTATTTTTAGTAGGTTTGGCGAAGACTCCGTGCATGCCCGATCTGCTTTATTGAAAATTTACAAATATTTTTCTCTTTTTCAATTAAAGTACATTGGTTTGATTTTATTAAAAGACAAAAAAAAATCTACGGATAACGGCCTCTCCAATTATAGCCTTATACCAAATACCCGCCATTTCATTTTGTTTAGAATCCATTTTTGGAACACTTGAAGTACGTCGATTTACAGACGTTATTCAAAGCATTCCATACAGCCGTTGCTTTACTTTTCTCAGTCACTGATATAGGTATAACAATCCGACTATTCTGTTTTCCACGCCAGCGATTTTTTATTGGCTCTATGAACACTTCCAAACCGCTGCCAATTCTGGTCATCAACTTTATCAGTTCTTTTGTAAGTTTTTTATCGTCTTCTGAGTATTTCTGCACCTCACCAACTGCTTGTTCTTTAGTGTCATACACCTTTAAAACATCTCCACTGTAAAATAACAAGATCAAAATTTCAATCTACGGCAAATCACTATAAAAACACATAAGATTCGTCCGATGAGAAAAGTAGTCCACGAAACGCTTTATGGACGTTTTTTATGATGACTCTTATTCTAAGTGGTACTCGACCGAGAAAAGAGTTTTACTCGTGTTAAGGAACCAACCGACTGTTAGACAACCTGGATGGTTAAATGGTCTGCCTTTTAAGGCAGCGATAGTGGGTTTAAGCCTTACTTTGGTCAAGACCATATTTCCTCAAATGACACCATTATTTGGATAGTTCTAGGAATGGACTCGCAGTTTAAAAGGTTTCAATGTTAAATCATAATTGTGTTCAAATAAAATGTTTGAATCAAGTTAAGTGATAACGCTGAAGGAAACATATTAACTATTGTGATAACTAAATTGGAAATGATATATGATATTTAAAACACTCACACTCCTAGCCTGATTCCATAAAAATCATCTACAGTAAGACCCCCTTTCTCAGCATACAGTTCAATATATAACTTGTTCGAAACTGACACAATGTAGTACCTGAAACGAGCAAATCATAGTAATAAAAATCCATGCCAGGAAAAATCCGATTACCGCATGTTTTCCAAAACTTGAAGGGGCCTTGCAGTCTTAAACTATTTCAAACACAAATAAATAATATCATTAAATTTAAAGACAATATTTTCAATATATACTCACTGTGTTTCTGCTAAAAGAAATTCTATTGGGTAATGATCACTGATGTTCGCTGCCTGTAAAGTATACAAAGACAGTTCTTTTGTATTCTTGTAAATAAATTTTTGAACCTCGGGGAACTTGCTCATGTATTTAAACGTATCAACATTTTTACTTACTTTAAACAAAAGAAAGCATTTTTTTTATTCGTAAATTTCACCATTATTCACAATTTGTGCTGATTTTAAGTATTGTTGTAAACATTATTTTTAATATTTTGTCTTTTTACGTTACATATGACGAACGGTTTTGTTTATTGATATTAGATGGGAAAATCAGAACTCCAAATTAAATGTTTAAATAATACTTGGGAATCTTTGAAAAGTATAAATACATTCAGTACAAATGGTATTACAAAATAATGTCTCGAAAGTTTGCGGGTTTAACAGAATTCTGGATTCCGCGGAGACAAACTTACCAAATAATAATCTATCTTTCCTAGTCTCGCTACGTCTTCATCAAACCTGTATACCTTTGCACTATTTTTCACTATTCCGTAATCCCATCCTTGTCCAGTTGTTATAAATCTACATGAAAAAGAGTATAGGATTAAAATGATGTTGAATGATGTTAAGATATACAGACAAAATTTTCCATATAAAATTCTGAAAACTTGGAATAATCACGCAACACCCATTTACATGTATATTTTATAGAGAGGTTTTACAAAAGTAATCTGAAAAATCATGTGAAGATCCCGTTCTCGATTTTTACTGTCAAACAAGAAATATATGAATACTTTCCCCGAACCAATGGATAATGTACCAATTAGTTGTAACCCTTGCACCCAATCTCATTGACAGTACGGGAAAATGGGACCAAGCGTTTGCCGTTCGTCTGTGTTTGTTTTACGTGTTTGGGTGTTGGGCAATGGGGTTACGCGTAGTTTTGATCTTCCCTTAACTTGCTGGAACCAGAAATGGTAAGCCTTTGCAAACAGTGTAGTGCCAGGCCAGCCTGTTCATATGTGCAGATTGTTCAATGTCTATACTGTTGGTAATACATTTTTGTATTTTGAAATTTCTAAAACTTGAACTATGGATGGACTGCTTATAATTCAAAACAGGGCAAATCCATAACATACAGTCAGCGGACTAAGGGCTAATTAAATTTTATCAGACAAGTCATACCTGTCGTATGCGCAGTGGGTTTTCTTCACCGTTGTATCTACTTCATCTCCTAGCAACCATTTAAACGATTTATCTGTCTTCATAGGTATATGCCTCCATTTACTCCGTGACACGTAGTTACAGTCAGCATTCAGATCTCCCATTATCATCAAATTTGGTTCCCCGAGTGTTTTTCTTACTTCGTCCACAACGTAGGTCTTTAGATAGTTGATTTCTTTGACAGCGTGAGTCGGGGCAATGTGTATGCCGATTAGGGCAAACGAATCCAATTCTGTGGAATTAGAAACACAGAGTCAATTTGAGCAATTGAATTTAATTGAAAAAAAATATTGTAACCACTCAACTGTCGAAATTGCGCATTCATCTTTATATGCGTATAAGCAATATAAATTGTCTTTGGTCGTGATATTCACCTGTATTCTCATACTTATTACACATTGTTTAACAAATATACTGATGCGCTAAATGAAAAAATTACTCAACCGCACACCGTACTGAAAGTGTCAAATTTTGTTAATAGATAAGCAGATAATCTGTAGTGGTTAGTACTGAATGATTAAATTATTTACGCAGATAATTTCCAGACGTAAAATAACAGGATATACACTAGGGTATGTGTATACATGTTATGATAATGTTCGTTGAATGTGAATAGATATGAAATACGCTATTCCTGTTATATTCACAAATACTTGCCCCATATACAGTACTGCTGAGTACATGATACCAACATAACCCTATATTTTGAAAACCAGAACGAAACATTCTGTTTCTGTTTGGTGCAAACCATCAGCAGCGTCCCGCCCCCACCCCTCACGGTCGTTATTATCACCATCTGGCTATATTACCTGTTTGACTGGATGTAAATGAGACGATGTAGGGCTGTCTTTCAAACAAGTCCTCCGCTTTACCCGCAATCACTTTGGTGTCATAATACACAAACTGTTCCTTTACCTGTAGACCAGACGACGGTCTGAAATTAGAAATAAATATATGTGAAACATGCATGTCTCCATCTTACCGTAGAAATGAACTGTGGTATGTTTATAGAATCATCATAAACATGTATTGAAAGGACATATGTCGAACAAAAACGTAGAATCAATAACTAGTAAGTTAGATATTGAATTCCATACTTAAGACCTGAAGTGCGTTCCATAGATTTTGAAAAATAACAGGCGTAACTAAACTACTTATTTAAGAATATGCATGAATGCATGCAGATATATGAGAGATGATTTATCAAAAATTGCTCAGTGATGGGCATCATCTATGTTAGTAATTTTATTTTTAAACCATTCCTCAAAAGGAGTACATTTACGTCTATATTGTGTGCTTTATATTCATGTTAAAGGCACAAGCATGTAATTGTTCAAATGCTGAATACATAAATTGAATTGTCCATTGTTCAAATTAGCGCTTTAGTAAACAGCAAATAATGCCGAATGTGGTCAGAACCGTCACAGTTGTGGAAACAGTTGACCATATACGCATGTTAATGCCTCCTTCTTCTAATTGGTAATAATAATCATAATTTTGCTAAATATCTAAAATGAATTTTTTAAATTTAGACAAGACCCTTCACCATTTTGTGGGACATTTATTGCTGAAAAGTAAACAGTGCACACCATTAAAAGCGTGCCAGCTGATGCCACTGTTTGCATGAGTAGCTTCGGAATTCGAAAATAGAAGACGCTGACATTTTATGTTTTTAACATTAACATTTACGGTCAGGCAAAACTATGATAAAGGCCGTTGTATGCCGTTGAATAAGGGGGAGCGCTTGCTTAGTAGTTAAGGTGCCTGCCTCTCAACGCAGGTTTTAAATGTTGTGTGGCCTTCAGATGGCACGACCATGTTTCCTCAAGTGATTCAAGTACCGGTTAACTTCAGGAAGCGGATTCGAAAGTAGTTTAAATAAGTTCCAAGTTTTTCCCAACCTTTTTTTATAACTTAGACTAATGAAATAAGAAAGTATGTGAAGTGAACTTTTTTTATTAGTTAAACAGTTTATCAGCATAAATATGAAACAGTCTGTTGTATAGACACTACTTACACAATCTGATCTCCTCGGATATTATGGTTAGAAGTATACGGAATAAAATCGATGTTTTACGATTGATTACATATTAAACCCTTTTTCTGTACACATTTTTAAATGCCCATTTTAAGGAAATACATAAAATGGCATTTCAATAATATTACATTTGTATATAAACACAAAAAAATAACATGTCAACAGTGTAGATCCTGGTCAGACTACAGGGGTGTGTATACTGGCCTGGATCTATACTGATGGCAAAGGCTAATCACATACGAGTATGGTTCGAAACCTACCTGTAGAAGTACGCATACTGTTCCTTACTGACGCTCCGACCAAGTCGTTCACTGAGAACCATCTCAAACGGCTCAGGCTGATCCCTAAAATATTACATCATGGTGTGATATTAACAACAACAACAAAAAAAAACAATAACAACAACAATATGAAAATTTACAACAAATTTAACCTTCGAGGCAGATGATTTTGTTTCCAAAAATCTGTATCATAAATAAGTTAAATGGAAATTTATTTGTAAATATAGTAATTTAATTTAGAGTACATTTGTAATTTGTACACAGGTTGACTTGATGATATGGTTGTCCAAAACTTTATTCATAAGCCGCTTTTTAACATGTTTATTTATTATCTAGTGCGGCATTCATGTCATAGGATATAAACGGGTACGCTGAAGACCTTAAGCTATGGTTGTTACTGCTGTCTTAACCAAAGCTGCGACTTCATTTTGGAACTTTTCGGTCCTTTCCGTCATACCTCGGTATCAGTAAGCGTGATCCTCTCTGGCGGTGTAATCGATTCATTTTTTAGCTGCAATCCGTAATACTCGGTGATTACTTCATGGGATTCGTCGGAAAGTGTTGAAAATGTTATTTGTAGATTAGTTCAATATTTGTTTTTAACAAGAAAAGAAAATATTTACACTAGATAATGTATATATGACATACTTGTTGACGTCATTAAGCAGCTTATTTATAGCTGTACCGGACGTGTCTCGTATCTCTTGTATAAATAGGAGGTCATACCTTCGAATTATCTGCAAATAAAGAATTGGAAATCCGGTAAAGATTGCCAGCAAGTCATTCTTCCCAGTAACATAATGAAATAAAATACTGATTGGCAATTAAAAGTACTATAACGGATGTAAATCAGATTATACCAACATCAATTTTAATCAATTTTTATAGTTTTAATTGTAGAATTATAACATAGTGAAAACCTACAAAAATGGCTTGGAGTTTAAGAAAAAATCTTTTTATTTTAAAAACTGGTCATATAGAATGCTAAATGCTTGAAAAAAAAGTACCCATCCTCAGCTTTGGAGATACATTTAAATTGTAATATAAATATCAGTCAAGCTGTACGCGAGGATACTTGGTCTCAGTCAGCATCTAGCCGCCCCAACCTCCCGTTTAAGCTATGCCTTCTTACAGAATGTGTAAGACTTAAATTAGTTTTAATTATTTTTAAAACTTTTACCTTAACTAGAGCATCCATGACGTCAGTTTTCTTTACTTTGTTAAGTCCAAATATCTGAATATTGAAGGCGCCAACAAGGAGATCTTTTGAGCACGCCGAGTCAGTCAACAAAAGCAGGGTTGCAAAAAGTTGTAAAATCAACATTTTCACTTGTACCTGTCTTGGTCAGGTGTACCAATTTATTGTTGTTGTTTTGTATCTTTTATCGCACAAGACCGGATGTAACTAAGTTAGTGTCGTCTGTTCGCACCAGGTCAGATGTTCCAAAATATTGATGAGGTTCTGATCACAAATGGCCAAATGCATCTAAGTTATAGCTTATTCTTGACTCTCCGGTCTTACATATTTAAAATCTGTAACAAATTGTATACTGTCATAAATATGGTCCAAGAAAAGTATATCATTCATTTCTGATCTTATATTTTGTTATTACTCAGATGTTAGATGAATTATTATCGCAATATTAGCAATATAGAATATATGATATATTCACTGATGAAATCCAATTTTTATTTAGAAATGTTAAATAAATTGTTCATATGCTTGTACTTTTTCTCGGGGTTTGATAGAAAAATTGTGACCTTCTGAATTTTTTTGAAATTTTGAAAACACGACAAAGTCGTCGTTTGTCTAGTTATCGTGTTTTAGACACGCCCATACGAAATAGCATAAATCACCCGACCACTTTACTCCCATCATAATTTCTGGGTTATGAAATTACTACGAGAATCATGTTCCTATAATATACAGTAACTAATATTATCCAGAAAGTCACAAAGAAAATAAATAAACAATAAAATGTATATAAATGTAATTAAACTTTTGCTTTATATAAAATTACACGGCTACCTAGAAATAACAAGGTAACCATATTATGTTCCTGTCAGTAACTTTTGTTATCCCGACGATGCGGATGACAGCATGTTGTCACCTCCAGGCTACTGGGACACCGGCTTGGTTCAATATGCCGTGGTTTATACAGGAATATAGCTCATTACGTTTAGTGGGCAAATAATAGGTATTCTAATGTTTTTATCTCAAGCCTGACGAACATTTGAACAAATATTGCTTGTCTCAAAGTCAAAGTAATAGATTTTCTTTGGGGATAGAAACTGGGATAACAAACGTCAATGAACAAACGCAATAATTTCAGATAATATCAGATATAGGAAAGAGGGATTCAAAAATTTGAAAATATAAAATATAATTGATATTAAGAAATATTATTGAATACATGTATATATACATGTACACAAAAATAACAACAACCCGAAACGCTTACCTTAATGCGTGTATAGCTCCCATTTTACACATATCCATTTTACATATATACTTTCTTTAAATAACGTGCGAGTTAAAACATTCAATGGATAAAAATATACAAAGTTATTTATCAGTTCACAATCGATTGCCTCCGAGGTCAAACAGGTCATGAATGGAAGAGATTCAAATGTCTGTATATACTACATTTTCATTAAGGATTACACCATAATATTTCACTCCGACTTTGAAGCGTAACATAAAGTGTACAGACGCGTGAACTGTGGTATTTACTTTCACTTAAAGTTATAATTTTGGCAGATTTTGATATCAATAGTAACGTGTTTAAAGTCTATCAATGATATTGATTTCTTTCAGACCTGGCGTAAGACATCGCTTACAGCTGAAGGACACGTTTCATAGATTCGTAGCCTACGTATATTTACGTAGGTTATAATGCTGACGCGGTGTTACTATAAATTTTACCTGCGTCATGTCATCTTTATTATATAATTAATGGCATTTAATGAGTCAGTACCGTACATTTATTAAATTTCATGCTTTAAAAATGAATTTTAATATATGCCTTTGTACATATGAATGTATAATGTATAGCAGATAAAACTGCACTGCTCCAGTTGAGTACATTTATACATTTTCATACATTTATAAATAAATAAATAAATAAATAAATAAATAAATAAATAAATAAATAAATAAATAAATAAATAAATAAATAAATAAATAAATAAATAAATAAATAAATAAATAAATTATAAATAAATAAATAAATAATATCAATCAATCAATCAATATATCTACCTGTTTACACACAGGTGAGGTTCTCAATGTACTTTTTTGTGTAGAGTATTTCACTGTATAGCAAATATTAAGTTTTTCGACTTAAACACTTTAATATTAATACTACATTCATGTTATTCAAACCTATTTAAAACCACGTTTCTTTTCGCTAGTCTTTCATGCTCGGCTATAGGACTAGAATCCAGGAGTTCAGTTGTACATACATGTATTTAAGCACATACTTTAATTACATAATTATGATAATCATAAGTCCGTGGTGAAAGTAAAATATTTAATTTCACTAACTAGCCGCTCATAATGAATCTCCACAGTTTAATATTCATTTCAATCCAAAATGTTTAAAATAAAATAAAGTGTTTCAAACAATGAATTGGTGTCATATCTAACTACCTGGTACAGAAACAAGAACAGCTTTCAGATCTTACCCTTTTTCACTCATGTCCTTATTTATTGTAAAATTAATGTTGTAATTGTTGTTTGAAATTAATTAAATACACCGTGGAGTGATTACCTTATCCAAAATTGAAATTATGCCGGTCAGCGTTACCTCCCCTGGCGGTACTATTCACTTTACAGAACTTCTATCGCGGTAGCAGCAGCAGCAGCAGCAGTAGAAGTAGTAGTAGTAGTAGTACTCGTAGAAGCAGTAGCAGTAGGAATCAATGAGGAAGTAAATCCGCATATATGAGTGTCTGTGTTTTATGCCAGATATAAATAAATAATTGACCGAAAGAGATAGAAGAAAAGGACATTTTCTGAAAGAGTTCATTGGTAAATGCCAACTTTGCTCCAGTTTTTATGTGAATAAGTATTTTTGAGTGTTTCTCTACATGAATGAATTAACAGGTTCCGGCCGATTACTGAAAACTGTCATATTGATGTATTTGGAACTGAAATGCTGTGACAAAATGCAGCATGACCCCTAGTTTGCTATAGCTTTGGATGAAACTGTAAGCACACGTGACTTTGATTTGATTGGAGAGTTAGTAAAATTGTCACATGGTTTAATGTTTATATAGAACATATTCTGAAATAAATTGTGGTCTGAGGCCAGTAGCATTAGAAGTTGTAGCAGCTAGTAGTCGTTATACAGGAAAGTCGTTCAGGTAAATTAAACAAGCAAATTCGTTGAATTTATATCCCCCGCCGAGTACTGGTTATTATTAACACAACAACTGAAGACATGAGGCTTTATTTATATATTAATCATGGCATAAACAGTAATATTCTTTGAACTTGATAAATATTCAGGGCAATAACAGAGCCATAACTTTGTGTTAAATAGTAAAATCTGGAAATGCCAATGAGATGTATGCATACTACATAACTAATCAAGGGCCATAAATCTGAGTTATAAGTATCTGACTGGAACAAGGCGACTATATGCATATCTCCTCTTAGTATCTCATAAAGTTTTATTGAATTCCAGCCAGTAGTAGCAGAGAAGTAGCAAGGAAACAAATATTTTTCTATATGTATACTGCATAACTAATCAAGGGCCATAACTCTGAGTTAAAGTGTCTGACCGGAACAAGCCGACGATATGCGCATCTCCTCTTGATATTGAAGGTTCCCATAAAGTTTTGTTGAATTCCAGCCAGTTATTGCAGAGAAGTAGTGCGGAAACGATTTTTACTTTATATGCATACTACATAACTAATCAAGGGCCATAACTCTGAGTTAAAGGGTCTGACCGAAACAAACCGATGATATGCGCATCTCCTCTTGATATTGATGATTCCCATAAAGTTTCGTTGAATTCCAGCCAGTAGTTGCAGAGAACTACTCCGGAAACGATTTTTACTCCATATGCATATTGCATAACTAATCAAGGGCCATAATTCTGAGTTAAAGTGTCTGACCCGAACAAGCCGACGATATGCGCATCTCCTCTTGGTATTGAAGGTTCCCATAAAGTTTGTTGAATTCCAGCCAGTAGTTGCATAGAAGTAGCGCGGAAACGATTTTTACTCCATATGCATACTGCATAACTAATCAAGGGCCATAACTCTGAGTTAAAGTGTCTGACCGGAACAAGCCTACGATATGCGCAGCTCCTCTTGATATTGATGATTCCCATAAAGTTTCGTTGAATTACAGCCAGTAGTTGCAGACAACTACTCCGGAAACGATTTTTACTCTATATGCATACAACATAACTAATCAAGGGCCATAACTCTGAGTTAAAGGGTCGGACCGGAACAAGCTGACGATATGCGCATCTCCTCTTGATATTGATGATTCCCATAAAGTTTCGTTGAATTCCAGCCAGTAGTTGCAGAGAACTACTCCGGAAACGAAATTCGGACGGACGGATGGACGGAAGTTCTAACAGGAGAGTAATTATGTGGCTACTCTATTGTTCTCTCTATTGTTCTTTTTAGCCACACAAAAGAAAATAGCGACATAAAAGCATTACGGAATGAATGACATCAAAGAGAAAGAACAGTTACCTATTGTCCCTCTAGCCACATAATTACTGTCCTGTGAGTGCGGACGGACGGACGGAAGGACGGACGGACAACGCCAAAACTATAGCCCCCTCCCGATTCCATCGGCGGGGGATAAAAAATGGATAATTTTAAATTACACTAGACTAACTAACATTTTTTTCCAAGTATTTGATTTTCTATTTCGTTCTATAAATTTTATAAATTTTCGACCAATCTGGTAACAACGAGAAGATACTAGATTGTTATTTCTTAACTAACAGCTGTTTGATGAATGATCAAAGTTAAATAGGACAAACAGAAACACGTACAACTTTGAGAGATAAGGAATAAAATGTCATTAATTTGAGACCATGGCAATGATTCCCCTTTTGTTATAAATACATGTATGTATAAATATAAGAATTAATGATATAATAATAAAAATATTAAGTATTAAGTGTATGCAGAAAATTAGAGAAAAAATGTGATATACATGTATTTTTAGCAACTTAGTCTACTAAGATAGATAATCTAGAATATATTTTTATAGACCAACCTCTATGCTTATTCAATTTTGTATAGAAATTTTTCTTAATACAAATACATGGCAAAATGTTAGTTTTTGATATAAAGACAAAATCACAAATAAGTTATAAAGTTTTGCAGATTGTTTATTTTCTTGCGTAGAAAGATTTCATTTTATATACTGACAATACTTTATAATGTACTATTTTTTCTTCAAGTTAGTGCCAATGTCTTCAAAACAGTGGCCGAAAACCGGTGTTAAACCGGTGACAAACGTCCTGACATCCAAAACAAAAATCCATAGTCCATAAACATTCCGCTCGCCCTTTCGAATTGAATCAACGAGTCTACTCCCCCCACTTATTGGTTGGGTTTTATGTCGCACCAACACAGCAAAGGTCATCTGCCGACTTTCTAGAATTACTACTGGAGGAAGACCTTATAGGTGCCCCTCCAGCAAGAATGGGTAGCTGAGTGTAAGCACCGAAGTTTCGTAAGCCAGCTGGATAGCTTTTGCCCATGAAAGAATCCAAAGTCCCTTGTAGGATTCGAGCCCGCAGCGGTAAGGGGCAAATGGTTTGAAGTCAATCTGTTTTCACAAGACAGGTACAAGATAAAAATTTAATATACATGTATAACTTCCCAAGAAAGGTTCAATGACCGGAAGCAACAGGTACTTGCAATTTGAAGACATTTTACATATTGAATATAGGTTCGGGTAAACATGGCCCACCATCAATAAACACCACAACACAACAACAACAAAAAAACAACAACAAAAAACAACAAAACTTTTCAATGATTTCAGAGAGATGTTTGTGTAAATGAGGACTGAGGTAGAAAATGACCACATTATCTACCGTAGGGGCCTCATCATGGTTTATTTTACAACAAAGTAAGTCACGCTACTATCAGAACTTGTCAAGGCTTCCATCAGGTAAGACCTACTTTACTTTATTCTCCAGGGTTAAAGATTAATAACTTTATGACATGTGGGCAATTCGAACTTTATGTATTGAAGTAGTACATTTTCTTTTTCGAAGACAAATTGTTATTTTAATAAGCGAGCCTCCTTTTATTTTTTTTTTATTGTTTTTGCCATGTTAAGACGGGATATACGCACATATATATATATATTAAGCCATATGGCCGCGTCCCGTTTGAATTTATTCTATGTACGATCATATAACAAACTTTAAGCAAGAATGCAATTGTCAACTGCTTTGAGTCATAAGGAAGGCGACAATGTGTTCGGATAGTGTTAGATCCAGAGATTCTCCAGGAAATTAAAACTGGTGAAGAAATGTTACCACTTGACATTGTTCCATATAGCACTAGCGCTTACCGTTAATAGGCCACATCGAACAAGCAAAACTTAGAAAATAATTACTACGATTTTAAATTTTATGCTGATTTTTGTTTTATACTTTCTAAGGGCAAGATGTTCACTGTTGTCGTATTAGCCGGTTTTATTGGCATCGCTCTCGGACAAAGTAATGACTTTAACTTTCTCCCTTGTCCTTGTGTGTGTTGTGTACTTTACTATTGTCTTGCTTAGAATGTGGTATATTGTGTTGTTTTTTGTTTTTGTTTTTTTTTAAATTATTATTTCAACATTAAAATAATGAAATACACATGAACATGTACTTAAAAAAAGTCTTACTTTACCAGATCAGCATTCGGTACACACCGCTGATTATCCATAGGCATTATGAAATGGCCGACCTGTTAAAGTTGAAACCATGCATTCTTGCAAAATGCAAGTAAATTACCAATCATAAGCTAAAAGTGTACGCTGCCTAATAACATTAATTTGAGTGCCAGTCATCCCTGGTAACGATGCTAACGTCGTGGGGATCACGTGGCCTTCAGTGACAATATGTTCATTTTTCCATTTAATTGACTATACATGTATCCTCTAATGGTGATTGACCAACACTTGATATTGAAAAATGTTTAGAACAAAATATAAATGTGTTTAACATATAAAAAGACTGCCCCATTATTTTTTTTATAAATTGAACGTTACAGATAAATTGCGATGAATATTTACAAATATATCATTGAGTTATCTATCGTTCATGAAAAGTAAAACATATGATTGAAAGGAAAAATTGCGAAATGTATACCGTTGGTTGGACCTGATATGTCACTTTTAGTGGTGGTATATCTCTAATTTTCTCTACACGTTTTGGTGATTGACTGACTGATATTGTTAATGAAAGAAATTTGATAGAGATAAAAATACTATGTTGTGTGAAAAGGTTTTTATTTTCGGTAGAAGTAAAAAAAAGTGTTTGTCATTTGTGATTTAATGATATTCAACTATTCCTTTTCGAGATTTTAATATACTTTAAAGTGTTGAAAGTAGAATCTACGTATTTGATTATATCCTTATCTTATCTTTCTATTCAATGTTGGTATGTGACTATAAATGTGGTTGGTCTAAATTTTGGACATCTTGTTTATGCATACATGTATATAGACTACTGGGGGTTAAAAACATTATAATATACCAAAGTAAAAACACTGCCTCTAATATGTGCAGCAAATTCACTTTATAAAGAATACACACAACAACGTAGAATATTCCAAAATATTGAAAAGCATTCAATTTTTGTTGTCATGTAATACATGTATATTTCAGAAATTCACTTGCCATATACCTAAGCCATATTTTGCTGGCAATAAATACATGGGTACTTATATAGTGTTATAGTATTTTATTGAAGTCAAAATAAGCATGCCATATTGTTTGAATTTCGCAACTTTTATCACAAATAAGCTAACACTAAACGCATATTGTTCAGTAGATAAACATCTCACATGTTCTTAATACATTCTTACAACATTATACCCTTTTTATAGACGGTTTTTTTTATTTCTTAATATGTATGCCTTTAAATGCTGTTGTTGTTTAAAGACACATATTCAAAGTGTGCGTTTTAAAACTCATTTCGAATATTTCGAATAACTTTCCCCAACGCATTTTGTTAGAACCCAACGAGAGATTTTCGATTCTTTAAAACCAATCAAATTAGCTTACGGATGGCTCTATCCAATAACCATAGGTCATTTCCAGTCAGTATAACATGGAAATTTAGATAATCGATGTCACTAGCAACCGAACCAACAAATCAAAAAGCAGCAATTTACTTCCTTTTTTCCTTCCAAACATACCAGTTCTTCTTCTAGCGTCAAAAGATTTTTTAAATTCATGCCATTGAACCCTATAAAATACATGTAGTGAGTAAACAGGTTCTTTCAAATAGAATTCTATTTGAAAGACCCTAGAGTAAGTAACGTTTGAACAATTATCTTATTTAACTTTTAACGACAAACCCAGGCGTTCCATGTGGCGTGCCAACTGTTACCCCGATCACAAACAGAATTAGAGGAGGTCAGGATGCGATTGCTGGTTCCTGGCCCTGGATGGTGCTTCTGGTAGATGACCTTGGCTATATTTCCGGTAGCGCATTCGTCCTCGGCAAGCACACACTTCTAACCTCGGCACAACATTTTGAAGGGTGAGTGGTCGTCTGCTGCTAAGAAAATAATGTATCCCATTCCATTATCTTTATCAATATATGCGGTTTTTTTATTTTTAGTGTGGCATTCTTAATATATCACACTTTTATGTGATATATTTTAAAGTCTACTCGTTTCAGTTAACGTTAGACATACAGAACCTAGAAAAAAATCTGTTACGCATTCGCCGTTTATCCCAAGTATCAAAACATATTTATGTGAAATAATAACTTTAAATGAAAGTATAATTTCAGCACAAACTACCATCTTGCTGATATTGACCTTCCAAACTGGTCTATGTATCTCGGATCACACAGTATTAAAACAGAAGCCCAGCACGAGAGAAACTACACCATCAAGTCCGTGACAGTGCACGAGAGCTTTGATGCAACCACTTTAAAGAACGACATTGCCCTCATTTACACGAATGAGGAAATTGTTTACAATGAGCACACGAAACCTATCTGTCTACCAAATCCAGGTCACCAGTACCATGTAGGTCAAATGTGCTATCTTGCCGGGTGGGGAGACACCGGTACGTGTTTTACAAAAGAAGATTTATACTTCACATTTTAAAACTACAAATTAGAAAGCAACCATTGCAAAAATGGTTTATGTTTTTAATATTATGTCCTTGATAACATTCCCCTCATTATCAATACATTTCTGAAAGTCTGCATTTTTGACTAAAGATGAATAAGGTTTGGCAGGCAGACACACTTTTTAGGACTAGCATAAAAAAGAGAGAATTAAATAGAGAGAAATAAAGAATCCCTAAAGAAAGCTCAACAAGACAAAATTGAAAATGTTGCAGGCTCGGTTTGATTGAGCCTGTACATGGACGGTACTGGAAAGTGCAAGTTACCGTCCACGCCAAAAAAGGCTTTGTTGGTGGTGTTTTAAACAGTTTGAAGTTGATAAAAGGGTAAAGGACTGATACATTTAGAAAGGCAGCGCGAACCTGTTAACGTGTTGAAGATGGCCTGATAAATATTCTAAGGACTAACACATATACAAATATAAGCTCTGTGGATCTGTTTAAAGTTTGAGGAGGGCGACCTGGTAAAAGTTTGAAGGACTTGCTTTCGTATAAAGGCTTTGTTGGCTTGAAAACGAATGATGGACAACTTGATTAAAACTTTGACTGACATATAGAGACTTTGTAAGACTAGTACAAGCTTAGATTTAAATAGGACTATTATTTGAAATATTTATAAACTTACAGACACATGTATAGCTTTTAAGGACTAACACATATGTTTCCTGGCCAGCCTTGTGAATTTATGTGAGATAGTTTTTATTCAGAAACTTAATTGAAAAAGAAACAGGAAAAATCTTGAAACATATACATGTATAATGGACATGAATTTGATTGACGTCAGACAATTTGTTCGCCTCATTCTTTTATAATAATTATTGATGCTCCATATATAACTTGTTGTGATTTTACTTACAGGAAATGACCAAGACGAGGTATTAAAACAAGTCGGTTTACCCATTTTGGCAGACAATGTGTGCTCTAAACACTGGCAAGATTATTTATCGGCAACAGAACTTTGTGCCGGTTATGAAAGTGGTGGAAAAGATTTCTGTGGTGTAAGTCTAAAAGCTTCCAAATTTATATATTATTATGCAATATTAGCGGAACCTTATTTTCAGCTGATTCTTTATGTTTATACTTGGATGAACATAATGCCGTTTCTGACTTTTCGAAAACTTAAGATAGGAAGAAATGTAGTGTGTTAATACGTTGTAAATATGGCGTTGTGTAATCAAGCTCTTAATGTTAAGTTTATGTTAATCATATTTTATTGCTTTTTTCTTTCTATACGAAATAGATAAATTTTACATGCAAATGTAGAAAACAATATTAACGAATAATGTTTTGTTGCTTTAAAACATTTCAATATATTTGGTTGTGCATTTTCTGGCCAATGTGCAACTGGGGAGGCGGAAAGCGGTGCATTTCTTTTTTTTACAATCTTGATCGGAAAGCTTGATCTACATTTATATATAAACTTCTAACTGTACAAATTAATGATACGTTCGAAACATGTTAAAATGAAAGAAAAAAAATAGTTTGAGTTTGTTGCTTACTTCAGGATGATATTGGAAGTCCACTTATGTGCAAGGACGATTCAGGCGCTTGGTTTGCTCAAGGTATAAAACTTTTGTTATATACTCATTTGTCAAAACCTGTGTTTAAATGCTATCTTTTAGTAAAGACCACACATAAAAAACTGTCTGGCGCTAAAAGTTGCTACTTTATATTCATACTGACCTGTAAATTTGCCGATAGACGGTTTTGCAAAAGATTCGCAATAAACGGATATTTTTATATGAAATTTTAAAAATCATATGAAACGGCAAAATTACCGCGAAGATAAGTCTGGTTAAGTCTAATTTTCTTTTACGTTCATACAAGAATGAAATGTATGTACTATTTAAATAGATGTTTAAAAAATAAATTTCAATCTTTTCATTTCTTTACTTTTTTCTAGAATATCAAGATTTTCGTTAATCCCTATATGTCTGTTCTACACAAAGTTTTGTTTTAAGTGTGAAATAATTGTTTTGCAGGAATTGCATCATCCGGCGGAGACTGTACCGCCGCCGACGAGCCTGGAATATTCGAGGATGTCTCCAAATACACTCAGTGGATCAAAACCCATATGACAGCTGCCGGTTATCCATACGAATATTAAAATGACATTTATTTAAGAGTAGGAAATAAAATATTTTCAAATCTAAATGTGTTCCCAGCATCAGCTATAAATATGATTTATTTATCTGCAATGGTCGTTGGCTTGAAATTTAGGGCAGCTTCAGTAACAATTTTGAAATCTTAATATGCATATAGATATGGATTGGAATCAAAATTTTACAGTACGTTCACTGTATGACAGATACACAAAATTCGATCCCATGCACACGGCACACTGACTTAAGCGCGAAATTATTTTGAAATCATCATGCATGCACAAGTTATAGATAGAACTTGAAATATTTACTTTTACGATCACAACAGTAAACAACTTGTCCTCCTTTTATGGTGGAGGTTTAAAATTAATGACATTCCGTCAACTTTTAAATACAAAGAGAAGTACATCAGCTATTCATTGCATACAGATTAAATAACCTTTCTATCTAATAATCTTTCGAACTGGGGACTTAGTACATGTATAAAGAACTGTAATAACAAGCAATTATCATAGTATTGCAAGCAATCCATAAGTCCCCTGCCGGTTAGAACCCCAGCAACATTCTGATGGGCCATTGGCCATTCAATTTTACCAGTGAATGAATGACATGAATGAACTTAAATCTTTTGAGTTCTAAGTTTGTCTATATCACAGTAATGTTTTAAGTAATTCTGATAATTTTTGTGCTAGAGTTGTAAACCTTGTCACGTATGATGTGGTTGATGCCAAGAAACTTATATTTTAAGTTTGAAGTAAACACCTTAAGAAATAAAGAACTTAGAGTGAAAAAGCTTAAAAATTTAAATCAGAAATCTTGAAATTCAGTCTATTTGTTGCCATAGCAACCAGAATTTTCAACATAAAAAGAAAAGAAAAAGATGTGCATAATCTCCAGACTGCAATCTACCCATATTTTAAGTTTCATAAAACTATTTTCAGTACTTTTTGAGTTATCACTGGATCCAGTTTATGTGTTAAATTTGCCATATTTTCAGACTATTAGTTGCCATAGCAACCAGAATTTTTAACATAGGAAGAAAAGAAAAAGACGTGCAAATCTCCATACTGCCATCTATCCATATATCAAGTTTCATTAAAATATTTTCAGTACTTTTTGCGTTATCGCGGCATCCAGTTTTGTGGACGGGCGGACGGACTGACAGACAGAGGATAAACCTAGTCCCCTCCGGTTAAACCGGTAGGGGACTAATAAATGCACTAAAGGGCATCCAGAGGTTTTCCGGGAAAATCTGGAAGTCGTTTGTGGATTTGGGTTTTATGTCGCACTTACGCTGGCCTTAATCACCAAATGACCTCAAGATTCGGTTTGCTCTGACCCTATACTAACAAGCAATTATCATAGTATTGCAAGCAATCCATAAGTCCCCTACCGGTAAGAGCCCAAGCAACATTCTGAAGGGCCATTGGCTATTCACTTATGTTCCTATTTTAAATAAATTTGTTGAAAAAGTTCTTTAAAAGTGATCACAGGAAACAGTTTTTATGTACAGACAGACGGACTGAAGGACACTCTAAAGTTATTTTTTAAACATCCCTGTTATCAAAATATAACATTTTTAAAATCCTATGATGATTGAAGAAGTTGGAGTAAAAATTACCAATTTTCTCAAAAAAAAAGTCTAAGTTCAAAAGGGGCATAATTCTGGAAATAGTCTTGCTAGAGTATTGAACACTTACAAATGTTGAGTGATAATAAGAAACATTTATATGAAGTTTGAAGTAGATACATTCAGAAAAAGAAGTTATTAAAAAAACAATGTTTTTTTCATGAAAATTTTAAGTTCAAGGGAGGTAATTCTGATAAATTTTGTGCTAGAGTTGTAAACCTTGTCACATATGATGTGATTGATGACAAGCAACTTATATTTAAAGTTTGAAGAAAATACTTTATGAAATAAAGAACTTATAGTGAAAAAACTTAAAAACTAGAATCAGAAATCTTGAAATTCAGTCTATTTGTTGCCATAGCAACCAGAATTTTCAACATAGGAAGATAAGAAAAGGATGTGCATAATTTCCATACTGCCATCTACCCATATGTCAAGTTTCATAAACATATTTTCAGTACTTTTTGTGTTATCACTGGATCCAGGTTATGTGTAAAATTTGCCATATTTTCAGTCTATTTGTTGCCATAGCAACCAGAATTTTCAACATAGGAAGAAAAGAAAAAGACGTGCATAATCTCCATACTGCAATCTATCCATATATCAAGTTTCATAAAAATATTTTCAGTACTTTTTGCGTTATCGCGGGATCCAGGTTATGTGTAAAATTTGCCATATTTTCAGTCTATTTGTTGCCATAGCAACCAGAATTTTCAACATAGGAAGAAAAGAAAAAGACGTGCATAATCTCCATACTGCCATCTATCCATATATCAAGTTTCATTAAAATATTTTCAGTACTTTTTGCGTTATCGCGGGATCCAGTTTTGTGGACGGACGGACTGACAGACAGACGGACGGAGGGTAAACCTAAAGTCCCCTCCGGTAAACCGGTAGGGGACTAATTAAATCAAAAGGTAAACAAAAGGAATCGTTTTTTATATTTTTTTTAATTCATCACCACTAGCACAAGATATTTTCCAACATGCACACTTAAAACACTATAAACTGTTGTTCAGAATTGTTCTCGAGGGGTCCCATTCTTTGATAAACATACCCATGCTGTGTGGCTAGAACTAATTATACAAAACAACTCCCAAGAGTAATTTCAAATATCACTTTCAATAAGTTATCTTTCATCAAAACAAAGTGTTTATTTTAAACCTAGTATGTTGAAATATAATAGCACATAATTTCTAGTTAATGTCTTATGATCACTTCTTCTCGTCAGCAAGTCTGTCGGCTTTCTGTAAGACTTCTTCAATATTTCCTACCATGTAGAAAGCAACTTCTGGTACATGATCCAATTCACCTGAAAAGAAAGAAAAATCTCCATGGAACAAAACTTTAAAGAATGCAAAAATAAATCGGTAATATTTTTTTGTTTGGTTGACCGGCGCACCAACACAATTTAGGTTGTATGGTGCCGAAACAGGAAAGGTAATTTTGGATAACCTTGGGTGATGCAAATTTAAAGCAACACTAGGGGTCAAAACCACCTCACCTGCTAGAGCCAAGAGATGTATAGCCTCCCAGCAATTCAAACCCATTTAGGCACCTCTTACAATCACGCAGGGATACTTTGTGACTGCAATTCTGTTGCCACAACCCTTAAAGACAACCCTTGAGCCATAAGGATGAAAAATTGCTTATACTTTAAACTTTTATTTAGAAGGGTTGACTTTATGATAATTCCAGCAAAATTAACAAAGGTTGAAACTAATACAAAAGCATTGTGTCGTACAGTTCTTCCTGATTATATTCTAGTACTAACCCGTTCTTTTAAGCTCTCCATTAAAACAAGACATGATGGCCCTGAGGTTGCTCACCTGAAAAATCCCCCCCGGGCCAATTTTTACCCAAGGGCTTTTATTTGTTTATTTGAACAGACTTGGTAGACACCCATAAGAAGATGTTTTATGCTAAACATCTAAGTTCTAGCTCATTGGGTTTTTTAAAAGAAGATTTTTTAAGTTTTTACTATACACATATAGTTAAAAACAATGACACCCCTGAGGCAGGGCCAGTTTTGACCCCCGGGCTTTAATTTGTAGATATTTACTTATAGATGTTTCATGCTTAATATCTAAACTAAAGCTATTTGGGTTTTTTCAAAGAAGATTTTTAAGTTTTTGCTATACACATATAAGGAAAATCAATGACCCCCGGGGCGGGGCCAGTTTTGACCCCAGGGCTTTTATTTGAACATACTTGGTAGACACCCATTAGACCATGTTTCATGCTAAATATCTTAGCTCTAGCTCTTTGGGTTCTTTAAAAGAAGATTTTTTAAGTTTTTACTATATGCATATAGGGAAAATCAATGACCCCTGGGGCGGGGCCAATTTTGACCCCAGGGCTTTTATTTGAACAAACTTGGTAGACATTCACAAGAAGATGTTTCATGCCAAATATCTAAGCTCTAGCTCTTACGGTTCTTTAAAAGAAGATTTTTTAAGTTTTTACTATATGCATATAGGGAAAATCAATGACCCCCCAGGGCGGGGCCAATTTTGACCCCAGGGCTTTTATTTGAACAAACTTGGTAGACGCTCACTAGAAGATGTTTCATGCCAAATATCTTAGCTCTAGCTCTTTGGGTTCTTAAACAGAAGATTTTTTAAGTTAGAAGATGTTTCATGCTAAATATCTTAGCTCTAGCTCTTTGGGTTCTTTAAAAGAAGATTTTTTAAGTTTTTACTATATGCATATAGGGAAAATCAATGACCCCCTGGGGCGGGGCCAATTTTGACCCCAGGGCTTTTATTTGAACAAACTTGGTAGACATTCACTAGAAGATGTTTCATGCCAAATATCTAAGCTCTAGCTCTTACAGTTCTTTAAAAGAAGATTTTTTAAGTTTTTACTATATGCATATAGGGAAAATCAATGACCCCCCTGGGCGGGGCCAATTTTAACCCCAGGGCTTTTATTTGAACAAACTTGGTAGACACTCTTTAGAAGATGTTTCATGCCAAATATCTAAGCTCTAGCTCTTACAGTTCTTTAAAAGAAGATATTTAAAGATTTTTCTTTCGGTTGCCATGGCAACCAGAGTTCTGCATGGAATTAAATTTTTTGAACAATTTTTAAAGGTGACCACCAAAGGAACATTCCTGTGAAGTTTGGATGAAATTGGCTCAGTGGTTTATGAGGAGATGTCATTTAAAGCAAAGTTTACGGACGACGGACGAAAAGCGATCACAAAAGCTCACCCTGTCACTTTGTGACAGGTGAGCTAAAAAGGGGGTGGGCTGAACAATCCAACTATTATTCAACCAGACTGGGTGGTACACAAGTCTTGTTTTCTTTTTGGATTTAAATGATATTGTGAATGTCAACTTTCTTCCTTTACCAAAGGTGGAAAACCTTCCAATATCCAAGTATAGTCATCTGTCAAACACTCTGACAGTTTGCTCACCCAATGAAACCAAAACAATTGATGCTTATGAACCTGACGCAGGTTGATTGTTGTTAACCTGCTTTAGAGATTAGCCGTTGCCACCAATAGTTCAGTTTTCTCAAGCTTTATACAGTTCATGCTAATTTTAGAATTTTGATATTAAAATCCCTCACATTTTAAATAGCCTGGTCCCAATTCAAAGCAGGGCAAATAATTTAGACAAATTTAGACAAATCAAAAGGTTAACAGTTAAAAAGAGGAAATAATCATACCTCCTAAGATCTTCTGGAATCCTACGATGGTTTCTTTGAGTGGTACATATTTGCCCTCGGAGCCTGTGAAGACCTCGGCCACCTGGAAAGGTTGGGAGAGGAATCTCTGCATTTTACGTGCTCTGGCTACTGTCAATTTATCTTCCTCTGACAATTCATCCATACCCAAGATAGCAATGATATCTTGTAGTGATTTGTAGTCCTGAAATCATTCATAATTACTTCTATCATTTCAAACATTCTACATTTTATCAACTATTCAATCTTACAGCATTACTAACATCTAAACTGCATTACTTATTAAAGACTGAAACAGTCCGTTAAAGGTCCTGTACATCCAATGGTAATAGTTTATCAATTCTTTTATCCTTATCCACTAGGCCACGGATACCCCAAGTATAATAGTTTCAATATCATAAAACAGTTAACATTCTTCGTTTTTCAGGGATTTAATTAAATGTTTTATTGGTAAAAAAAATATACAGAATTTTTACAGTGTTTAGTGTTTACGGAATGTTTACTGTTTTACGATATTGAAACTATTATCCTTGCTCCTCATATTTTCTAATTTCACAGTAAAAAATCTATATTTTTATTTACCAATAAAACATTCAATTAAATCCCTGAAAAACGAATTTCCCTTTTACAAAGTTACCAAGTTGCTTACTTGCTGTTCACACCAATCCAACCCTCTTCCACTATTTTTGGTCAATAAAGTGTAACTTAACCACAATACAGCTACATTTATAGGATATTACACGAGTGAAGGTTCAATATTGAATTTATTTAACAGGTTGGAATATAATTATATATCATGCAAGCCCCAGGCAAGCATACTGCATAGTATTTTATTATTTAACCAAGCTCAATCAACTCAGGGCTTCTTTTCCTTCTATAGCAGGGGCCGTTATAGGGCTGCTTCCCCAAAGAAACATTCTTTAAAATCAATCATGCAGTTTCCCCCCATCCCCACCCAAAAAAACATTTTAAGTTTTTTTCTTCCCCTTTTACAAATTTACCCAAAATTAAGGACAGGACTGCCTCCCCAACCTGTGAAAAAAGCCCTGGTCAATTTGATAATAAAGCTATAAAAAAAAGTTTTTCTTTACCTGTAAAACCTTTTGTACATCACGAGCTACACCGTAATGTTCTTCTCCTACCACATTTCTGTCCAAGATACGAGAGGTGGAGTCAAGGGGATCTACAGCTGGGTAGAAACCCAACTCAGCAACACCACGAGACAATACAGTTGTGGCGTCCAAGTGAGCGAATGTGGTGGCTGGGGCAGGATCTGTCAAATCGTCAGCTGGCACATAGATAGCCTAAAGTAAGGAAACCAAACTTTACATTTAATATAACATGGATTACTGCCTAATCTTAAACTGATAAAAACATATTTGTTTTTGTTGTTCTGTATAATAACTTTTACAAACAAGCTTAATTTAAATTGTCAAATGTTTTCAGAGAAGATGGTTAACTTTTATTTTTTTTGCATTTATCATATTGATAAAGTTTTAGAATTACTTTTTAGATGACTTTATTGTGCATAACCCGAATAAAATATAATGGCATTTTTAAGTTGTTTTGTTTCAAAAATAAAACATGGATGTTTTTGGTAGCAGAGATACAGCTGTTAACTTAAAGAAGATATGAATACATTTTTCTTCATTTTATTTACGGAGTAACAAATTATTTGACATGCTATTTTTTTTATCAAGTATCAACTGCATTATTCTAGTTCAATCACAAACCTTGAATACCATTACCAGCACTGTCCAACAGACGGACAAAGTAATTAATCTTATGCCAACAATAACATTTAATACAACTGTATAAACATTTACCTGTACTGATGTGATGGAACCTTTCTTTGTTGTTGTAATTCTTTCCTGCATAGTACCCATGTCAGTGGCTAGTGTTGGCTGGTAACCTACAGCTGATGGGATACGACCCAACAAAGCTGATACCTGAATAACAGAATTACTTGTGACATTAAAATCACTAACTTTCCTTCTTCTAGAAACATATGCAAGATTATCTTCATTTACTTCAGATAATCCTTCATTTCTATATTCTAGCTCAAAAGATTTTGGTGTAAACTTTCTGTATGCAAGAGCATTTATATGCGTTTAACTTTATCCAGACATGATATATCAATAAAATTTAATTGAGAAAACTATGCAATTTCACATTATATCATACATGAGGAATTTCAATTTACATCTAGAAGGAAATGCTTGGGAAATTTGGGAAATACTCAGAATTATACTACAAATATACTAACCTCTGAACCAGCTTGTGTGAATCTGAAAATGTTGTCAATGAAGAGCAACACATCCTGGCCTTCCTGGTCACGGAAATATTCGGCTACTGTCAAACCGGTCAAGGCAACACGGGCACGAGCTCCTGGGGGCTCATTCATCTGACCGTACACAAGGGCTACCTGTAATAATAACATTTTATAATTTCAGCAAGTTTACCTACAAACAATCTGGTGCAGGGAACATAAAAATTTATTTAAAATTATAATGTAATCTTCATAGAAATTTTAACACATTTTTGTGTCTATATATATTCATTTGTTGACTTTACCTTTCTAGGTTATTTCACAGTCACGTTTTAAACAAGACTGATTAAAAGTTTCCTCAAAACAATCCTTTTTGATGTTATTCTATGACGATTCAAGACCTAATACAATCTCAAACAGAACAAGGAATGTGTTGTTCAAGCCTTGAATATACTAGTCAGAATGCAGAAAACATTTTTCTGAATTGGCAGGAAAAAAATCAATTTTTGTCTGTACCTTTGATGTATCATCAGTCAAACTGATGACCTTGGATGTGATCATTTCGTGGTACAAATCGTTACCCTCACGAGTTCTTTCTCCTACACCAGCAAACACAGAGTAACCACCGTGAGCTTTGGCAATATTGTTAATCAGTTCCATAATCAGTACAGTTTTACCTACACCGGCACCACCGAACAGACCTGTAGAAACAAAATGAGACCCACTCATGTGTATATTTCTTAGTTGCCCACCTTTTCAAATGTTATGGTAAAAGCAAATTGTTCCAATTTAATAATATTTATAAGCAAACTGAGATTTGTAAAACAAAACACTTACAGACTTTCTGAAGTTAAACATAAAAAACATTTTGTTCACAGCATAATATTTTTTATTAAAATTATTACTATAAAAAAGTTATTCTTCAGGTCTATTACCTATTTAATTCATAATTAACATTCCCCATGGAGGTCACAATATCATATGTCCATTATTTCTTTGTCTTGACAAGTGTTTTTTTTTCTATATCTGCTTGTCTGTGGCCAAGTGAAATAATGCGATTTCAGTCGTAAAGCAAAGACATTGAATAACTTGCAGACAAGCTTGTCTGTTAACAAGTATATGCTTGTTGTCAGCCATTTAAATCTTAAAATTAGTAAGAGAGAGAACGATGTAAAAATTATTTCAGATAACATAAAAGGTGTTGCAAAAACAGCAGATACTTTTTTTTGTTTGTTCAAATTTGAAATTTTATTGGTTGAAATTACATTCAATAATCTGGATAATCACGAGTAAGCCCTATTACCATATCTTGAATGGAAACAATCGTATTATTGTGCATACATACCAATTTTACCTCCCTTGGCGTAGGGAGCAAGAAGATCTACAACTTTGATTCCAGTTTCCAACACCTGCTGTTGTACACTCATTTCTGTGAATTCTGGTGCTTCAGCATGGATAGCAGCATATCTGAAACAAAAATATATATTACTTTTTTTTCTTACAAATTAATTGCTTTGTAACCGGGTTACCCTGTTAAAGGGACTCCACTGAGGTTTTTTGACATGACGGGACTTGAAATATTTTTTTGAGATTATTCCTCCATTTGATGTTGATCTATACAAATAACTTATGTGCAAAATTTCAGATCATTAGCTTGCTCCATTTTTCCAGAATAATTATTATAATAGTGAACAAGAGGGCCATGATGGCCCTGAGGTCGCTCACCTGTATATAGGCCCCCCCCAACGTTGCAGAGCCAATTTAAAGTAAGGGCTTTTATTTGCACAAACTCGGTAGACACCCATAAGAAGATGTTTCATGCTAAACATTTAAGCTCTAGTTCATTGGGCTTTTTAAAAGATTTTTTTTAAGTTTTTACTATACACATATAGTTAAAAACAATGACACCCCTGGGGCCGGGCCAGTTTTGACGCCAGGGCTTTTATTTGAACAAACTTTGTAGACACTTACTAGAAGATGTTTCATGCTTAATATCTAAACTCTAGCTATTTGGGTTTTTTCAAAGAAGATTTAAAGTTTTTTCTAAACACATATAAAGAAAATCAATGACCCCCGGGGCGGGGCCAATTTTGACCCCTGGGCTTGTATCTGAACAAACTTGGTAGACACCTATTAGAACATGTTTGATGCTCAATATCTTAGCCATAGCTCTTTGAGTTCTTTAAGAGAAGATTTTTCAAGTTTTTACTATATGCATATAGGGAAAATCAATGACCCCCCGGGGCGGGGCCAATTTTCACCCCAGGGCTTTTATTTGAACAAACTTGGTAGACACCTATTAGAACATGTTTCATGCTAACTATCTTAGCTCTAGCTCTTTGGGTTCTTTAAAAGAAGATTTTTTAAGTTTTTACTATATGCATATAGGAAAAATCAATGACCCCCCCGGGGCGGGGCCAATTTTGACCCCAGGGCTTTTATTTGAACAAACTTGGTAGACACACACTAAAAGATGTTTCATGCCAAATATCTAAGCTCTAGCTCTTTGAGTTCTTTAAAAGAAGATTTTTAAGTTTTTACTATATGCATATAGGGAAAATCAATGACCCCCGGGGCGGGGCCAATTTTCACCCCAGGGCTTTTATTTGAACAAACTTGGTAGACACCCATTAGAACATGTTTCATGCTAAATATCTTAGCTCTTGCTCTTTGGGTTCTTTAAAAGAAGATTTTTTAAGTTTTTACTATATGCATATAGGGAAAATCAATGACCCCCCGGGGCGGGGCCAATTTTGACCCCAGGGCTTTTATTTGAACAAACTTGGTAGACACTCACTAGAAGATGTTTCATGCCAAATATCTAAGCTCTAGCTCTTATGGTTTTTTAAAAGAAGACATTTAAAGTTTTTTCTTTCGGTTGCCATGGCAACCAGAGTTTTGCATGGAATTAAATTCTTTGAACAATTTTTATAGGTGACCACCAAAGGAACATTCCTGTGAAGTTTGGATGAAATTGGCTTAGTGGTTTATGAGGAGATGTCATTTAAAGTAAAAGTTTACGGACGGACGGACGACGGACGCCGGACGAAAAGCGATCACAAAAGCTCACCCTGTCACTTTGTGACAGGTGAGCTAAAAATGACCCAAAATTGAAAAGCGTTTAAACGCTTTTTACTCAAATCGGACTGAGAATAGCACAAACATATGATTTTCAATGTATTTCTTGTGTATTTAATAGTTTATTTTTATTAATATTTCTGTTTTAAAGTGCTCACGTTTATCTATGTGAAAAATTAAAATATAATGTTTTAGGCTTATAAACCTCAGTGGAGTTCCTTTAATATACTAAAATTGGCAAGGCAAAGACAAATAGACATAGTACAGAATTTGGCAATGTTTCAATCTGACCAAAGTTCAGATCAACTCATTTTTTTATGTAGATCTGATGACGACGGTATATGTTTCGCCTTCTTTATAATTCGGATTTCCTGAGAAAGCTATTATTAGCCATGCAATCAAAACGTTTTTTAAAAAGGGATTAGAAGTATCAAAATACCGTTTTACATGGAAGTTAAACAAACTGTTGATTTGTTGTTAGAAAAAAAGAATGTTTGAATTAATTTTTAACAAATTACTTGAAAAAAAAAATAGAGTCAATTTTTAATGGGCAAGATTATTTTGCCAGTTTACCTGTCGGCTATATGGACAACGCCATGTTTGCTCTCGAAATTGTGAATATTACCTACATTGATTGGTTTTTCTAGGGTTAAAATAAGAAACCACATCGCTTTCAAAATTATGAAAGCTTGTCGATGATCGTCTGTGTGAATAGTCACCAGAAATTATTTTGAATATGGTTACGCCCAGATCTAAAAAAGGAGCTTTATTTAGAGCTGATTTTAATCAGATTGGCAATGTTTTGACCTACTGCAAATGTATAAATTCATTGTAACCTAAATAAGTTAAATGATTCAAACAAAACAAGTACAAAAATAACATACTTGTCAGTTGGTACAGGTCCTCTTTCATCAATAGGTTCACCAATGACGTTGATGATTCTACCTAAAGTGGCTGGTCCTACTGGGATAGAGATGGGACTTCCAGTGTCCAAACAAACTTGACCACGAATAAGACCTTCAGTACCATCCATAGCAATAGTTCTTACAGTGTTCTCACCTATAAACAGAACAAGGCATTACAAGCTATAGTCTTTATCTAATTATCAAACAATACAGTTCCAAACTTGGTATCAACTTGAGAGTTTGTCTTAGAATGTTAATATTAGCTTAGAAATGCATGAACTCTTTCTAGAAATCAAAATTACAGTTATTAATCCTTCTAACAGACTAACAGTGTTAACCATCTTTTTATTTTATTTAACAATTTGGGTTTTAGAAAAACAAAATTAAATTTGAATATTAAATTTAAAACAATGGGGAATGTCATATGTTATAAATCAATGCATTTTACCAGTTACCAGGAGGTGCACTATTCAAGCACCATTTCCCATTTTTCAAGGACATTTGTTGAACATATAATTTTATCAACACAATCTTCAACCTAATAAGGATAGTTTTTTTTCGTAAATTAATTTTTTGTTGAATACGCATTTTCTGGCCATAATTTTAAGGATGTTATACAAGAACTACAAAGGGCGCATCAAATACAGGTTAGTTCAAAACAACTGCAATTTGACCACTTATTATTACTTTGAGCAAACATTTAATTGATTTTAACACTAAGTTGGATTTTGTTTGTTTGTTAACTGTTGATTTTTATTGACACTATGTTATTCAATCATTTACAAGCACATTTTCAGCAAATTTAAGCACTTTTCAAGACAGTAATCAAATTTAAGGACTTTTTAACATTTTTAAGCACAGGACTCAGGAGTCTGAGTATTGTCCAGTACCTTATTGTGTACACTTCCAGTGATTTTCCTACTTATATAACAGACTCCGAAAAAGGGCCTCTTCCCAATTGAAATTTTCTTTAAAATCATGCAGTTTTCCCAAAAATCAGAACTTAAACCCGCTTTTTTCTTCCCAAATTAGCAATTTTAGCGATACTTTTTCCCAAAATAAAGAGGCTAAGGCCTCTTCCCAATTAAGCGAGAAAAATCACTGACTTCTTTCAAAATATTCAGTAATTTTTAGATTTTAATTTTTTCTTAAGGAATGGGGCCTTACATTGGTCACTGACGATAATGCAAAAATGCCCAGCTGTTATGGGTAAGTTATAAGTTCCATTAGCATACTTTTCCATAATATTTATACCTAAATGTTGTGCAACTTCAAGAATAAGCCTTGGGCTTCTGTTTTGGACCTCCAAAGCATTCAACATAGGGGGTAATTCATCTTCGAATTGTACATCTACAACGGCACCAATGACAGCCACTACTTGACCTTTTGCTACTGTTGCCTTGGCTGGCTGTGTTGCATATTTGCGCTCTAGAAAATAAACATATTAAAGTAACAATAATGAAAAAATGTATTTCCTAACCTTGGTTGACTTTGAATTCAAGAAATTAAGTTAAATTAATTAACATCTGCAAACTAAATATTTTTAATATGACATAATTTTACACATTACCCCAAGTAAAGACAAGAAAATGCGAAATAATTTCTTCAATAAATATTAAGACATTTATTGACTTAATTGGGAGTTGTATCCATCCAGGTCAATTTTTTGTGATATAAAACTAGCATTTCCATCATTAAATATAACAATTTATTTTTTCAGACAAAACTTAACATTTAATTAAACACAGGAATGAATGACAGCATATAGATCTGTAAATCTTTGTCTCAAAAATGTTAAATGAAATGCTTAATTCAAGAAAACATCCAATTCCATTCATTGTTAATTTTTGTTTAAAGCAAAATTATCCATTCAACACAGATAAAACTAATTACTTATCAGTTTAGATATATTGCAAAAGGTTTCTTTTGATACACTATCTGTGTTGTTTAACATGACACAAGCCAAAACTACCGAAATTATTTTAACCGACCTGGTCAATGTCAACCTGTAAATTTACCCCACCCACAACATTCAAGGTCAATCAAGTTGCAAACATTAACTAATTTCTGGATCAAAATTATTTTCATTCAAGCTATATATATGGTAAATGTTGTATTAAAGCTGTAGCAAGTTCGCCCTGACACGGCGTATTTCATATTAAATTGGGAATCAAAGATTCTCAAACGCTGGCAAAAAAAAACCTAACACCGGCAAAATTCTATTGACATTTAGCAGTTGAAATGCAACGGAACAACACAAAAAATAGAACTTACGTGCTAACAGGCATGATGGTAATGAATTTAAAGCTGCTTTTTGTGCCAGTGGAGATGAAAAGGCTTTGCTAGAGCCTTTCAGAGCTCCGACACATGCTGACCGTACTGCGTGCATCATGGCGACCACCGAGAAGGTAAATCACGTGACTAGATTCATATTCGAAATGCCCGGATGAGCGTAGAAAGATTTCAGACCACTAAATCTTTTATGCGGGTCTGAACAGGACAAATATGAAGGCTGTTTCCCAAATGGATATTATACGGCACAAAAGAAAATAAAGTTTCCTTTTAAAAGGAAAGGCTTGCACAGTTGTGCCTTCATCCCAACCCTTTAAAATTGTTTTTTTTTGGTTTCAATTTATTATCACATTTTTTTGAATTACGGTATTTGTATATCATAAAGTGTTTATTTAGTTGGGTTTTTTTTTGTGGAAAACCGAATATTTTTTGTCAAAACGATTTGAAATCTATTCTCTATTGTATAAAACTAATAAAGAAAATGATCAATCGTAAAAATACTAACGTGATACTGAAGGAAAACAAGTGTGCACATTTCATTTCCCCTTTTTCGCAGCGAAATCATTCCTTTGCTTTATAGACAAGAAAATGCACTAAAATACTTCGTTACGTGGTACCAATTAATAAGCATGTATCAACTATGTTACACTATCACAAATAGACGATGCGCTGTCTGTAGATCAGCACGTGGCAAGGTTAATAATATGCATGGGCTATTTTTAGATTACCTCACCAAGAAGTTGAATTGCGTTCAGTAGATCTAAATATAACTCGATCATGCGTGATTTGGTAAGCAGGACCACCCTTTGAAGACGGAATACTACTACAGTCACCATTCTCTATTGTATATAAACTAATACAGACAAAAAACAATTATAAAAGAAACTAACTTTTGCGTCTTGAAAAATAATTGAAACGGAACAATTTCGTTTATAATTTATTACGGTTTAAACCGATAAATCAAGTAAAAATAGAAATCCTCTTTATATAAACAAACTGGGATTACCGAAGTAACTAAAATAGCCGCAGTATGACGGAATCGCCCGAATTGTCACGATTGCAATCGGAACTACATCGGCTATTATCATTAATCCGAAGAGTGACGGAAAAGGCCGAAAAGTTGCGATTGGCACGATTGCAGCTGGTTTCCCGTTCAATCATGCACCAACAGATGTACGCAGGAAACCACCTAACCGGGACAAGTTTTCCAAATGAAATGGCTTGCAGCCGTGGCTGCAAGCCAAAAAGCTATCCATAGAATAGATAAAATTTTATTTCCAATATGGGCTTTGGCTTTTCAGGCATATAATCAAGATAATGAACAATAACAAAAATAGCATTATACAAGATGGACATGACTAAAATATATTAATGAGACCATATATAGTGCCATGTGAGTGTCACACATTGAAATCTTATCCATATTTAATAAATTTAAATCACAGAAGTGTAAATGACAGCTAGAACCCTATGCTTTGCAGTAATTTTCATAATACTGATGAACTAACTGTAAATGTAATATTTTATCTTAGGGAAATAAAAAATATGCAAAATTCGAAAAACCAGATAATCTGAGTTCTATGCACAAAATAACAACAACAGAAAACAGTGATATATACATGTAAAATGGGAATTGGTAGAACTGACCGGTCAGGTACTGTTCGATTTTTACATTTTCTATATTCTTTTAATAAAATAAGGGTTTATGCATTCAAACGTTTTGTCGTAAGGATCATGGTAATGAATCGCTGGTTCTGTAAATTAATAAAGCTTTATACTTTTAGGATGTCCGTTTGACCCTTGAAATGGCTCTTTGACCCTTAAAATCTTCTAAAGGCCTGATTTGGCCATCAGGTCAAATTTTGTTAAAATCATGGGGATTTGGCCTTGTAATTGGCAGAACTTAGTCTATACTGGTTAAAATGCCTTCCGGATTCTATGGCCAGTGGTATCACTGACTTTGACGCAACATTTGCCGAAATAAGTCACGAAAACATACATTTATTAGTTTTATTGAATTACTTATTTAAAATTACTGTATTTTAATCAACGCTTCCTTTACTGTAATATTTTGCCTTTTATTAATCTAAACCATGTATCCATACATGCTATAATATTATTGCAGAGATATACGTAAGCTTTATATTAAATCAACACGTCCGTAACGATATCAACAGTTTGCTGCGATTGCGACTTTAAATATGTGTTGAGATTTAACAATAACATCGACGAAATATAAATGGAGAGTAGATAACGATAATTGCATGAAAAATGCCAACCAGTAAGGAGTGGGTCAATATATATGTAATGCAATATGGTCAATAAATTTAACAAAAGAGCGAATGAGCCGCGTCACGACAAAACCAACATAATGGGTTTGCGACCAGCATGATGATGGATCCAGACCAGTCTGCGCATCCGCGCAGTCTGATCAGGATCCATGCTGTTCGCTATCAGTTTCTCTACTAGCTATATGGTTTGTAAGCGAACGTACAGCATGGATCCTGATCAGACTGCGCGGATGCGCAGTCTGGTCTTGATCCATGCTGGTCGCAAACCCATTATGTTGGTTTTGTCGTGACGCGGCTCAAATTTCTATTTCAACCCTTCGAAATAATCTCCTCCTTCAGAAATACAAAGTTTCAGACATTATAAGTTCAACTTTAAAATGCTTACCTTCAACATAGTTCTCCTTAGTTATAAACTTTCAATAACTGAAAAATGGCCGGCTCAAGTGAATTTCCCTTAATGTATGTTGTGTTTTGGTCTATGGAAAAGTCCCAGGGTACAAAGTCTTGAGAATACGTGGATGTTTAAGAACAGTCACCCGTTTTTCTCTTAAAAAAACATAAAACTAAAAAAAACAACAAAAAACAAAAAACAATAAGGAGCTTCTTTGTGTGCAGGAACGTTTTCATACAAGCCTTTTATGCTGGTGAAAGGACAAACTTTATTGAACTGTTTTATTCTTAACACAACATATTTGCATTATTTTGATGTGACAAAACGCCTTCTAGAATCAGGAATTTGGACAACGGTCCCGCGGGAATTGCAAATAATGATAATAAAAAACGTACATAACTTGTCAATCGCTTGTCAATACATCGTCGGCGCACATTTTGGGTGGCCTCTTAAACTAATTGTTACAATTGCGAACTGACACCGGCCACAATATTTACAATATTTACATAAATAGTTATGTTTAGTTAACAATTTCAGTAATTTTCGAGCGCATTTAACTAGCTCCTTCTTCTGATCATATGTTAGCAAATGGATAATCCATCCATATGGCTGTTATTCGCCTAACTTCAAAATCACACAAGTTGGCCATCTTGATATCCCTGCGATAAGGGTTATCTGGGTAAATGAAAGACTGGCATCTTTGTCATTGAGAAGCTTGACTTTATGAACGTTCTTGTAAGAAACTATGGAGCGTTTTTACCAGACTTACAGGCATCTTTAATCGAATCGTGCCTTTTTTTGAATGCATGCATCCACCTCGAAACAGTTGTATGATTAAGATACGTCATTAATTGCTGCCAGAAATATTACAAATATCATTATAAACATTTAAAGCAGATAACCCTTTTTTTGCCACAAATATACATACAATTGCTGGAGCGAGCTTTTAATATGTAATACCGTATTTCAACACTTTACCAGACATATTTTGAAGTTACCTGTATAAGGTATTCTTAAATGTGAATTAAATTTTTAACCGGTTGACCACACACATGATTTTGGCGTCATTTGAAACAGATGCTTTGAAGCATACCATACCATTCACAAACATAAGAATCACGATTTAAATTAGAAAATGTAACTCATATTGCATAACATGCTGACCCACCATAGTAACAGTGTCTTTTGCAAACTAAAGAACATTTGAAATATTTCATAATACCATATTCTTCGCTCGATATCATCAACATATTTATCTTAACAAAAGAAGCTTTTTTCTATGCAATGCAAAAAATCTCCCAAAAATCAACAATATGCAGTTAATAAATTTTGTTTTACTTTCAATTTCAAATGGCAGTTTTATTAGCATTTTTTGATAAAACATTGCATGGAAATAGATAAATCATTATCTGGATGCACAGAATTTACGTTTGCCTAGATACCATTTACTATAGACCTACAGCTAGTTATGAATCTCCCATTAATGTGGAACAACCGCGTTTTGGTGTGTTATTAAATGCACATATCGTTGTACAATTTTTACACATCATATAATTTAAAAAAAGATAAAAAATGTAATGATATTGATGATGGGGAGGGCTATTGTCCATCTCCCGGCATGTCATATTGATGGTTATTTGAAAAACTATAAAAAACGTTTTTTGGAACAAACCAACATGTGTCATACCAGGAAACATTGCAGGTATCGGGCCCTTAATTAAGACCCCTTGGCTGGTAGGCCTTAACCGCTAGGCCTGTAAACTTGACCCCATATTATAAGAGTAACTGCTTACAATAAAGTTTAAATTTGACAAAGTGACAAAATATGCTCTGCTGATAAACCATTTGACCTCTTTTTAGCCTTATCACTGTAAACGAAATACGCCATTTTTTTGTTCGACCGGTAAGCAAGGAAATATTTATAGTGATGATATGTCATATCATATTGTGGTTAATATTGACAGCAATTTTGAAGCCTTGTAAGCATGATTTTTCTATTTCATTGTGTACTTCGACAGAGATTTTATTTCTGATTTGTTCAGATTTCTCTTCTTTTATTACCTTTAATATTTGCTTATTTTATTTATACATTGTACATCTAAATTTAATCAATGTTTTACAACAAAGAATAAATTTTATTTCGTTATAATATAATGTTCCTATATCTTATTATGCCCCCACCCTCAAAAAAAAAATGGGGAGAGAAATAGTTTTTGTTGCGTCCGCCTGTCAGTCCTGCCGTCCGGACACTGTCCTGTCCATAATTTTGTCATTTAAGGGTGGAATTTAATATAATTTTGTGTAAATGGGTAGAACATTGGGACTAAGTATGAATAAGTAACTTTATTTTGAAAAAGAACCGTGTGATATAGCACAGCTGTGTATGACCAGTAATTAATGCATTTGTTATGTTTATATGGAATCACAATTCTTAAAACTTCTTGCAACTTATCATATGAAT